CTATGTCCATAAAACAGGTTCTGAATGAATTATGTTACTGATACCTAATGGTCAAAAGCAATAGCAAAAATAATAGGTCAATATTATTAAATTGCAGACAAAGATTTTGAATTGCTAGGCTGGCCTTGACTGGTCTGCACAAAGCCAAGTCCTAATCTCAGCTGAACACCTCTGGTGTGACTTTAAATGAAGTCCTTGAGCCAAAAACTCATCACCAAACACCAATATTTAGATCGCTAAACTCCAGCTTGTTTGTTTTTCAGATCATCTGTGGCGGTGCTTCCACAATGAGGAGTGAGCGCGTGCGCATGCTTGCCAGATTGCTTAAAATAAGCAAAACACACCGGGCAGAAAATGCATGAATTTAACAGCGAAGCTCTGATTCGGGGATTAGAACTCTTGATATCTGGCAACCGCACTCATGAAAGCTCGTGTGTAGAGCAGTCTGCAATATGCAAATGTCTCCAACATTTTGTCTCCTTTCTTAGTCATAGGGTAAAAAGCTCGTCAACGAACATTTTTCGTCATAGTCTTCGTTAACGAAATTAACACTACTCTCCATGCATAGATTAATAAAGCTATTTCTAGGAATATTAAAACAGTTTTCACTAAATATTTTTTGGACGTCTCTGTTCTGGGCTGCGTTTCCCGATAACGGTGTCTCTTAGCGTGCTACGAAGCACACACACACACACACACACACACATACACACACATATATATATATATATATATATGTGTGTGTGTGTATGTGTATATGTATGTAGGCATGTATGTATAAGTTTGCAAGTGTGCGAACCTGCAACCTCACGGTCAAAAGTATTCTGCCTTAATCAGCTACATTAACTGGCTGTTTGGCTTCACTTGCATTTGAAAGGGTCATTTATATGATCATGTTCATATATATATTATGAAGGCCTGGTCGAGCGCTGATGTGTTGGCGATGGGGATAAGTGTCCCATCCACAAGGCCAATTACTCACAGGACATCCGCAATGGCATGGAAGCCTTGATGTGCCTCCATCACTTCGTGCCTGGCGAATATAATATAATATAATAATCGGTGGCGTGACGGAGCAGGATGTTTGTGAGTGAACGCACTGCCACACCGAGGTCTTACTCAACCCATATCCATCCCCAAACACCTCCAGAAAACTCCCCATAGCATAAAAACGGAGAGCCGCCAGCAGTTGAATTTCGGGGCTTAGGACAACTATTCGCTGTCTCACTGCCATAGTTTGACCAAACTCCCCATCACATTCATTCCCTTTAAATAGACTCCTAATTATGTGCTGCCTAATATTTTACCAGCCGATGTGCCTTTGTATAATGGAAAAACTAACAACCATCAGTATAATGACAGTTTTATTCTTTGCATAAAAACACTTCAATTAATTGAACACTAATTGAACACTGGGTGTATTACAACTTTAGAATTGTAATATTTATTTGGTTCTGCACTTTTTCTTGCCAGAATTACAATCGTATCGACTGAAATGTGAAGAAGCTTTTTGCACAGTGGTGGCCACTAGCGGAGTGAACTGTGAACAGCGATAAGGTATAGCTAAGAGTGGTCCAGACTAACCTTACGAATGAATGACTTACAGAAGGTATACTTAACTAAGAACGGTTCGGGAAACACGTATTAACGTCAAGGTACAACTTAAGGTATAACTTACGAACGACGTAGCGTTAAGAAGGTTTCGGGAAACGCAGCCCTGCTCTGGATTAAATCATCTCTGGCGAAAAGCAAGAGTAATGAGCATGTGGCTGCAAACACACACATGGCCTTATCGCCTGGGAGTCCACTGCGCTGTAAAACTTAATGACTCATTTCCAAAAGCTATAATGCCGCATACTTCAACATGTGCTGCCATCACATGGGAATGCAGCGTGTGGCTATAAAATCTAACGAGTCATTACAGCCTGCGCAAGATATTATGGATCCAGCTCAAGGTGAGGATAAAAGTGCTGAAAAGCCAGCCACAGGGAGCACTTCTCAGTATGCTATGTACATTTATATTCCTGATACACACGTATAGTATAAATGCATGCTGATAAGTGAATCATATCTGTTTACAGAGCTGAAAATCATTTTAAGCCTTTCTGCAAAAAAAAAAAAAAACTGTCTCATGTACATAGGGTTGTATACAGATAATGTAGCCTTTATTTTTCCTTTTCTCTTAAGTCTCTTAAGCTCAACAAGACTGCATTTATTAGATCCAAAATATAGTAAAGCTAAAATATTATGAAATAGCATTCAAATTTAAAATAAGTGTTTTCCATTTAAATATTTTTTAAAACAGTTGAGCTGCTTAATATTTTCCTGGAAACAGTGATTTTTAGACTTTTTCTGCAGGACACTGTTATAATCAGAAAATTCAAAAGAACGACATTTAGTTGAAATAGAAATATTTTGTAAAATTACTTTTGAAAGGCAGTGTATATTTGAATTAGAAGTATTGAGAATAATTATTTTTGCACATTACAGTAAGATACTGGGAATTAATAGACAATTAGAGTGTTTGTATGTGCTGAATTGTCATGAAAAGTTCAGTAATATTTTAGATTTTTATTTTTGGTAAAATATTGCCCATTTTTAATTTACCTAGATAACACCATATACTCCACTACTGTGGATTCTGTAAAATCATACTCAATTTACTCAATTTGAGCTGTCACAAGCCTTGACAGTACATGAAAATCAGTGGTCGACTGATATATCGCCAAGGCCGATATTTGGCATTTTTCAAGTATCGGCATTGGCCGACAAGTTTTTCTGTTTGGCTGATGTGTTCGAGGTGGGACTTTTATTTTGACGGCACTGAGAATGGCAGGGCCTGCGCACACAGTGCTCACATTCTCTCTCTTGATTGCTGTCATCGTTTAACAGCTCTGTCTAATACAAATAGAAGTCTGTCTAAAAATCAGATAGAACTGTTAAACAAAGAAATTAAAATGTATACAAAAAGTATTATAACGATTGCCTTTATATCAATAGTAATAGAAAGGCAAACGTTATAATACTTTCTCGTTTGCCATCAGCATTCAGCAAATACGCATTTATATCATTTAAACAAATCTTTGAATGACTAACAAACATTTAATTTCACAAACCTTGCAAACTTTAAACTCGTGATTTCAAACTATGCTGCACTTTATCCGTTTGCCCACTGCCATATTCATGTCATTTTTACTGTGTGCTGTATGTAAAATGAGTGTTACCTTGGCTTTATTTGAAACAATATGGTTAATAATGCATACAAACGTCCCAGAATACTGAGTGCCCTTTTGGTTACAGTGTTTACTTCCTTTTTAATTCTATTTTTATTAAATATTTATTTGTGAAAAATACTTTGTCATCTAAACAATAATTTGTTTAAGTTTATTTTACACATTTATTTTTTAAAGGGGTGGTTCATTGCGATTTCACTTTTTTAATGTTAGTTAGTGTGTAATGTTGCTGTTTGAGCATTAACAATATCTGCAAAGTTACGAAGCTGAAAGATCAATGCAAACGGAGATATCGTCTTTTAAAATTCTGGCAGTTTAATGCCTACAAAAACGGATGATCAGCGTGTTTCTCAGAGAAGGGACAGAGCGGTGTGGAATAAAGGTAAATTATGTGAAAAATAATGCATTTTTAAAAAAACAAAGCATTAACACATGTTAGACTGCACCCCATAAACACAATCAAGCCTATAAAAACCCCACTGAACCACCCCTTTTAACACATTTTCAAATTATTTAAATACTAAAATAAATAAAATTACATCAGCTTTATATCGGCCATCCTGCTTTCCAAGATATCGGCATCGGCTGTCAAAAAAACTAAATCAGTCGACCACTAATGAAAATACAGGCAGTAACCACCTCAGGTAACCTAGAAGCACCTCCTTACCCTCTTTTTAGATCTGCTTCTGGGCAGCATGTAGATGTCTTCCATCTCCTTCTGCTTCTGCTCTTCCTCCACCTTCCGCCGCTGCTCCTCTGGAATTATGTCATCCCAGTCGCGTATAGGCTTCTCCTCAAGATTTGGTGTGCTTTCATCAATGGTGAAGTTAGCAACCTATCAAAAGGAAAACACACAGTTCATACTGGGCCAAGGCTCAGGAGAAAATATGCTACTTAACATTAAAAGTTTTAATAGAATCTTGAGTACCTTAAACTGTGACAGAAGCTCGTCTGTAGCACTAGATCCTTGATCGCTCTCTCTGGTTTCAGCAAGCCGCAAGATCTCATCAATGTCCATTTCCTGTGGCTCTGATTCCTCCCCCTCAGGTTCCTTAAAAAGATCCTCTGCTCCAAACTTCAAGATTGCTGTCAATTCTTCTTTACTGAAGGGGTTTGAACTGGAGATGGCCAACACACCGGCATACATTATGTGTTATACGTTTAATACATGCTTAAAACAACATTCTGATAAGAGAAATTTAATTTTTTCTACTTAATATTCAAGGTTCTCACTTTGAATTTGCGGAGCTGTTATCCAGTACGGTTCGCCCAGTGGTGTCCATCCTCTGAATCACGAGATGGTCTAGTACCATCTTCTTTTTGGCTCTTTCAATAATGTCTTCCTCCACTGTGCCTTTTGTGACCAGACGATAGATATTCACCTATGCAAAGAACCCCAAAATATATTTAATTGCAGTCTACGTATGCTACTTATGACACTATCTCATACTCCTCCAGAAGTATGTGTCGTTACACATTAGGTCAAAGATTCATGCTCTACTTACTTGCTTTTTCTGGCCAATCCTGTGGGCTCTGGCCTGGGCTTGAAGATCATTTTGTGGATTCCAGTCCGAGTCAAAGATAACCACTGTGTCGGCAGAGGCCAGGTTAATCCCAAGCCCTCCAGCTCGGGTGGACAGCAGGAAACAGAAGTCCTGTTAAAGACCGTGGACAGTGAGAAGAAGAGCCAACTGCATTGTGATGAATGCTTAAATCTATTTATCCCATTCCAGGTTAATATGCATAAAAACTGGATAATAGCCTATGCAATGGTATAAATCAGTTTGTCTGAGCAACAGCAGACAGGTGGAGTGATTGTTAGGAAACCATCATTTTGCTTTGTGGTTTTGCATTATTTTTGGTGACATTAGTGGCACAGAAGTTATATTACCACTTATCAAAAATCAATATTATATGAATTATCAATTAGCCTTATGGAACCTAAAGGCAGTGCTTAAAACAAATGTACTGTATACAGTATACTTTATATTCTATTGAAGGAGTAACATTATGTGTTAGAAAATTATTTTGCTTCATGATTTTTGCATTATTTTTAGTGACATTTAGTGACATTAGTTGCAAAACTACTTAAATACAAAGCAACCCTATATGAAATATAAAATTAACCTTATGGAACCTCAAACATCAATATATTGTATATACTGTATATTATATTTTAAGATTTACATTCCTTGTTAGAAAAAAAAAAAATTATTTGCAATTTTTACTTATTTTTGGTGACACTAGTTAGGGATGGGCGATATGGGCTTAAAAATATATCACATGTGTGTAGTAAACAAAAAAGTGTGCCGCGCCATCCGCCATTCATTCATTGCGGAAATCATGGCGCCTTATGCATGATATCAAATGCTTCCGCAGATTTATAGTATTACTATAGCATTTCATCTGAGCATTGCGAATCACGCGTATGGCCGTGATAAGCGCTGAATGAATGACAGGCTTTCTGTTGTAACATCGCGCAAGGTAAATAAGGGTGACATCTAGTGGAGAAGACTAATGATACGATTCACGTTAATCAGATCTTATTTTAAATGTGTGCTGAAATAAATCCCGGAAAAGATCGATTCGCGGCTTTTGAGAATCGATATCGAATCGGCGTCATTTAAAAAAACGATTAATCGAAAAATAGATTTTTTTGCCCAGCCCTAATCGACGTGGCCTTTATCAATGTATATAATACTATCATTCTGTAATATGAAACCACGTCTGGTCACAAAAAGAAGTATTTCAAACACTCGACTATGTTATTAAGTTAATTTGGAGAAAAAGCATGTCAATAAATTATATCTTTGTTGGACAACAGTTTTGTAAACAGGCTCATACACATGCAAAACTGTATCGCACACGTGCTACTGTAGTACATTTATTCAGACCGATTTTTTGTGCACTGTACAGCCCTAACCAAACCAGTTACAGATTGTAAAAGGAGCTCGAGCTCCTCATTTAGCAATATAGGCTACTCCTCCTCAATTTCACGTCCGCTTTCTGTGATGTCGCTCCGCACTGTCGCACACAGAAATATGTCAACAACTAGACTTTATCGTTATTATCGCAGGAAGACTAATTCTTATCGTGGGGAGAATTTTTACCGGTATATCGCAAACGATAAGATATCGCCCATCCTTAACACTAGTGATGCAGATGTTGCATCACTACTTAAATACAAATCAACCTTGTATAAAATATAAAATCAACCTTATGCAACTTCAAACATCAATATATTGCATATACTGTATATTTTAAGAGTTATATTACTTGTTAGAAAATCATTATTTTGCTTTGTGATTTTTGCCTATTTTTGGTGATGCTAGTGGTGCAGAATTTACATCACCACTTATATACACATCAGCCTTGTAGAACCTCATTTCACAAACTTATGAAACATTAATTTATTGTATAAACTGTATATTTAATGAGTTTTTGAACAAACTTCTTGTTTCAATCTGACAGAACCGTTTTGACCTTTTATGAATTACATTTACATTCTTCTAATAATTACATAAGATCTGTATTTCCCATGGATCAAGCATTCCCAGAACCAGTAAAGTGCCTTGTCAACTGAGCTCTGATGCAGAGAGCTGACTGGAACATCACAACCATAGCAAATGTCTCCAGACAGTGCAGCTCTGCCCAAAGAAAACAAACATGCATGCCACAGTTTAGGATCTTACCTCAGAGCCTTCTGCATTAAAGTGGTCCAGTGCTTGTTTTCTGAGCTCTCCCTTGATGGAGCCGTCCAAACGCTGAACATGAGAGAAGACACAGATGCGGTTAAGGAATGTCAAGCGTGGGCACTTTGACCAAACTAGGGCACCTCAGCTATACACCCATAAAATCCTAAAACCCCCTAAAAAGTCAACACAAAATTATGACCACGCTGAGGATGTTTTGCCAGACCAAGACGCAAGCTGTGCTAATGCTCAAAGCTGCACCGATCAAAAAATATCCGAGGGATAAAAATAGGCTCGGGGAACTTGCTGTCTGAGCAGACATACTGCAACCCTGACACATGATTCCCTAAATCACCCGAGCAAAGTCCATACAAGCTACACCTCTGAATGTCTCCTCAGACATTACAAAAATACAAATTGTCAACTGTACAAGGACACTAAGCAAGTGCATTCACATAATTTTGTAATCGAGTACTCGGTAGCACACAAAAACAAGTACCGCATTTTCCCGGAAAAACACATGATTGTAAGTGCAGCACTGGGTCAAAATTTTACTGAAGAGAGAACAAATGTGACTCAGGTTGTGGAAAATATGGTAATCCATTTATTACAAAAATTCAAATGCAAGTTAAACAGAACTTAAGTATGCAATGTATTTTGTTTTATTCAGAAATGTTTCATCACTGATAATGATTTCCATGCAAGTTAATTTCAAAGTGATTTTAAAAATCCCAAAATTCACCTCAAGTTTACAGAGAAACTAATTTCAAAAGTAGACTGCCACCATTAGCATAATAGAAGTATACAAACTTTGTCTCGATACAAAGTTTAACATATTCCTATTCAGAAAAGCAAGTAGTGAAAGTACAAAAAACACTGACAAGCGACCAAGTATCTTTTTAACTTTACAACAGATCCTTATACATTATTATTACTTTTCATAATATAGAAATATTGCCACATGGCTTCATCGCTTATCATCTTAACGGCATATATCCACAGCACCACCCAGTGCATTCAGTGATCACTGCGAGATTTAGGTACAGGAATAATGCTTTTACTGCAAGTCGGCCAGTCAATTACACATGTACATTCCTAGTAGACACCTTTCTAATTGTAGGGCTGGGCGAATATGGCCAAAAAATTATCTAGATTTTTTTTTTTTCATATCAGTCGATATCGATAATTATCACGATAAATGTAACATTTTTTATTTCTTTCAAGTTTAAAGGCAGATTTTTGCTCCAATGTGAATGTTGTAACAACCAGACTTGTGGTTTCAACTATTCTTTATGGTCAGAACATGACAAACACTTTTTGACGTTCACATTTTTGAATTCTTTACACGTCTCCAGTCATTTTTCCTTAACAAAATAAATATCTTAATAGAAAAAATTATTTCTTAGTTCTGCATGTTCTAGTAATGAGTAATATTGTTTCACATCAAGAAACAAGTTTGTGTTGCCTGATAATACTTAAAATTACATTTGAACATTACATTACATTTTAGTCTCTTAGAAATAGAGTTAGGATGCAGATGTAGATTTATGTTCATTATCAAAATCAGTAATATTTGTACAAATTGTAGCAATCTCATTTTTATATGGTAAAATTTAATTATTCTGACTGTTTAAGGTGTTTTTTTAACCATTGGTCTTCCATAACATACATTTAGATCATGATAATCACAGTTAAAAACCACAAATATAGCACATCAATACCATGGTAAAAATGTAATATGGCTTGTAGGTATTTATGAGAAACAGTAGTCTAAATACATTTATAAATGCATAAACGCTATAGCTTAATCACAAAAAATACTGTAATTATATTCCATTACTCCTCCTTCAATATATTTAATACATGTCTACATTAATAATATAATAAAATTCGACACGAATACCCACATTTCTGACACAATACCATGGTGCAGTTAGTGCTACTACAGTAAATCTATGGTAAATGATGGCGATTTGTAGATTAAAAAGTCATCTGACTGTATCATTGCGCACAGTTTTTCTGCTGTTTGTCAGCGCTGTTTCATCTTGCTGTAAACAGAGTTATTTGTGTTCCTCGCTGAATTCAAGAGCTTCACACTGGATCTCACAGCGCTGTTCAGTGTCGCGTGAGCGAGACTCATCAGCGAGTGAACCTGTTTTTATACAGTCTGAGATAGGCATGGGCCGGTATGAGATTCTGACGGTATGATAACCTTAGATAAAAATATCACGGTATTGTGATTACAGCTCTAAAATATGTTATTTTTAAATGTCTGGGTAAAAAACAACAACTTTTTTCCCACTGAACACAATATATTTTATTTTTAAGAAAAATATAGAACATTTTGTAACAGTAAACATGTCAGGCTAAATAATTAAAATAAATAATTGAATTCTTCTTAATTAAATTAAGTGCAGTCATTT